AAAACGCCTGTGACTCAGAATGACGTGGAGATTGTTATGACAAACACAGACCTCCCCCCCCCTTAAATTAATGTATATTTACATTTAGCGGAAAAATATTGATATATAGCTTTATCACCCAGTCATAATTCCTATCGAAATAAAACCAGAGAATCACTGTTTGTGTCTCTTACTGTGACTGTTTAGCTGCACTCACTTTAAAGCAGACCAGCATCTCCTCTGGGAGTCTGTTGAAAGCCTGAACACTGCTCACCGCCTGTAGCATCTACGGATTCATTCATGCTTCGCAATCAATGGCTTAACTGAACAGGCACACACATACATACACATACACATCCATCCACCCATACATACACACAGCTCGCTTACAAGAGCTCTTTTAATAGGGTGTCGGAAAAAGGATCTTCCTGTATTCTTTACATTTCTGTAAAATGCACCGAGAAGAGGCGGGGCTCATACACAGATCTGTTCACACTAAGCTTCATGTATCCCACCAGCACAAATACTGACTCCATTGACTGTCAGATGGGCGTACATGTGGAAATTACGCACAAACAAAGGCCTCTGTCTGTCTTAACAGAAGACAGGGAACTACTACCTGAAAGCACAAACAGCAGCACGTGTCTTTCATCCATGGCTTGGCTTGTCAGCGGTACCACAGCTGAATTTTCCAACAAATTATCCAGCTGGCATAACCGCACCTAAACCCTCCTTGTCAAATATCAGCTAAATGACAGGCCTCAAGTTAGCCCTAAAAAGATTGATTATATTCCATCAAACAGGACTTCAGTGATTGCAGTGCCAGAATCGTATCAGGGCTCAACCATTTTTTTCAGGCTAGTAGCTCATATTGGTACGTTACATGACCTGCTAATATTTTCAGCAGCCCCACAACAAAACAATTATAACTGTAATTGTAGCATAATATTTTATAATGTTAAAATGTAAATCTATTTATAATATAAACAATACAATAATAAAATTATAAAATAAAAAATAAATAATTGTAATGCTTATATTATACATACAAGTTTTCTTAGCAAAATATTTATTTTTATATTAACAAATATACATAAATTATTGATATAATTTACTACATTAATTTGATAAAATAATGATAGTAATTTATATTACAAATCATTTATTTATTTGTAATAAAAAAATAAATGTTTCAACAAAACCGACAAAAAAACTTGAACCAACTTAATGTTAAATCAAAATAATTAATGACAACATTCAAAACATTGCAAAAAACCAAAGGCTTATGTTTGGTTAAGCACAAAAACAATATCAACATATGCAAGATGTAGTCACGAGACAGAACAAGACTCAGGTCACTGGGTCATTATTATTGCTGTTTGTCAATGCAGGCTGTAATTCCTTAAACAAAATAAACAATGAAGTCACAGCTGATCATATTTATCATGGTTTACACTAAGCCATGTAAAGAAAACAAACCATCTGCAGTCACACCTTGTGAAAAAATCCTCGTCAGGTGCCAATAAACTACAACAGCTCTACAATGAACAGATAGTCTCACTCGCCGCATGTACTGTGGAGTCCGCTAGAGAAAGGAAAAATTGAAATCACATCATATGACCCCTTTAAGTATCTGATTCTGGAATCAGAATCGATTTTCGATTCCCAACCCTAATGTCATCACTGCAGCATTCTATAAAGAAATTCATACAGGTTTGGAAGAATATGAGGGTGAGTAAATTATGGAAGAATCTTTTTTTTTTTCTTTTTGGGTGAACTATCACTTTAAGGCAAGGAGTAGGCAGACAAGTGAGAAGCAACATGAGAGATGGAGCAAGAGAGATGGAGAGAGGATAAAAAGAGAGAAAGACTGAATAAAAGGAGAGAGAGGGAACAACAGACAGCCACAGGAAAGCATTAAGCCCCCACCATGTCGCAAACACAGGACTTCCAGAAATGGTGGAGTCCGCTGTTCTTTTATATATAGGACTGTTCATTCTCAATCAGCAGTGAGTCATTTGTTATCTGTCTATAATAGAAATAGGAACAGGTGGTGAAAGAGAAATTCAACAACAGGATCAACAATGACAGTTCAATCAATCTCATATAAACGATACCTGCTAACAACAGGCTGCTACCGGAGCAGAGGATCAGAGAGAGAGAGAAGGGGGTGGGTGGTATGATCCATCAATCAAAGATACAGAACGAGCAAAATTACTTAACTTTTGACACCACAGAGTGAGATTACACTGTGTACAACCGCCTAACACAGACAAGCAGATCTTGCTTAAGGGGTGTTTCAGCCAGAAATGAAGTCTGACATCCTTTACTCAGCCTCATGTCATTCCAACCCCAAACAAACACAACAGAAGATGTTTAGCAGAATGTCCATGCTGCTCTTTTCCACACAGGTACAGCTGTTTGGATATTCTGCTAAACTTCTCCTTTTGTGTTGCATGAAAGAAAGAAAGAAAATAAATAAATAAATACATAATTACTATTTATATGAAAATTAATTGAATAAATCAATAAATCAAATAAAAATAAATAAAATTGTGCACGTCACCCCACGTGTTTTTCTCACCAGTATGTGTTTGGAAGCCACAAAAAAACAACCCAGTCCAGCAGCTTGAAGGCAAATTCCACAACAGCCCATTGCACCCATGGGCTGACATTCTTGCAGCCGGGTGTGTGGAGCGCCAGTCATACCTGAAGCCTTTTAATGACTACATGCCTTTCCTCATCTCCTGTTGAACCTGCACCAAACTCACCTGCCTGCAAGCTCTCACAGCTCATGAATGACCCATTTAATAACCCACACCACCATCCTGTGCACTTCTGCTTTTCAAGCTCAAAAGATCACTGAAAAGTCATGCTTTGCATCAACAAAAGAAGATTGTTGCCTTCAGATGACATAAGAAAATAATATAAAACATTATTTTTTTTCCAATAAAAACTAAATGAGAACAGTGTCATTATTTACTAACCCCATTAGATTTCTTACTTTTTGTTTTGTGGAATATAAAATGAAGTTTTGCAGAATGTCCACTGCCCTTTTTATACAAGGGTAGACAGTGATTTAGCCTGTTCACCTCTAAAAGGTCAACTGATAAAATGCACCTGGATCTGGTTCTTCTTGTAAACATTTGTTTCGGTATCAAGTACAACCTCTTCCTATGTTCATTACTTCTCAGCCTCATTACACAAGACTTTCTTCCCAAGTCTTTCCTGCATTGCCATCAGGAATGAAATTGTATATTTTAATTCTTTATCTACAACAACATAATCAGGACTGGTGGAATTATTGTCTGTGACCTTCAGTCAATGTTTCCACAGAACATAACCATGAACTTGTTATAAGCGCAATCCCCTGGCGCATCCTAAGTGCCTTCTTCAAGGGCACAGCGGAGACAGCTCATGTCTCGCTCTTTGTGAGATTATATTATTTACAATAATAACATCACAGTTATTGTAAATAAAATTGAATAATAAAACTAGAATGTACAGTTCTCTTCAATTAACAATGTACACATTATTAACTGAAATAAAAGAAAAATATTGGAATTGAAATATTGGAAAACTAAATTACAATAACTAACTGAAATAAAACAAATGTTATTTTTAATTTCAGTTTTTGATCAATCCTAAATAAATAAAAAATACACACAATGAAATACCTCAATTACATTCATATCTATAAGTAAATGTATCAAAGGGCCCTAAAATACTAAAACTAAATCTTAAAAAAAAGTGATACACCGAAAAACCTAAAAGTAAACTAAAATTTAAGAAAGCTAAAACTACAATTAAATAAACTATAGTAAAACACAAAACACACTACAATCATAACACTAAAAACTAAAGAAAAGTAAAATAGGATATAACATAAGATACAAATAAAATCTAATTTAAAATTAAAATCTAATTTTCTAATTCCTGCAGCCCTCTGGTCCCCATGTCATATACTTGATGTAAAAATGCAGAGAACATTTTCAACAAACACAGAACAAATACAAGTGCAACTTGACGGTAGTCTCAACAGTCCAGCACTGGCACCAGATCCACAGAATACACTTTCTACCAACAAATTTGGCTCTGCGGACAAAGCCAGAATTGTGATGATACACCGCCTATAAATCGGGTCATTCATCCCATTAATACAGAGAAAAGGCAACAGAGAATAGAGTACAATGCTTAACCAAAGCCAGAAACAGAAAGAAATCAAGCTGTTGGGAATAAATTAGGTCCTGTATACAGCCAGATGGATGTACAAGTACTGCAAATCCCGTATGTAAATGGCCATGATGGTAATATATTAAATATGAAAAACAATACTATTTTTGACTTTATTCACTGCCTTAATACAATTATTATGGCATGTTATTTCAAAGAAAGTGAGGCTGCATCTTTTCATATTATCTTCATTTTTCATTAATAAGATGGGTGTCTCCTCCCTTTCTCTCTCTCTCTCCCCCTCTCCCTCTCTCTCTCTCTCTGCTGGCATTGGGATTTATAGACCAAGGATCATAGCCAAGTTTCACAGCCAATGGGAGATATGGGGGGGCTGGTTTTGTTTTCCTATTTTTCTATCCTTCCTTTTCATCTCAGGCTTTTCAAATTGTCTCTTTTTTGCGAGCAATTACACACATGCTCTGATAAACAGACAAGTTGTTTTCATCACTGAGAACCCTCTGCTGTCTCTCCCTCGCTCTCTCGCTGTGCTTCAAACAAATGTGATATCGCCACAGCCTGAGAGAGACGTACATTCAGCCACTGCTGGAGAGGGAGGCGGAATGACTCCTCAACGGACAGCAAAGAGAACCACTCTGTTCACCCAAATTTATAAAGTACAAACTCTTTCTTACGAATGAGTTCTAAAATATGGTTTAATAGTTTATAAGATAGTATGAGAAAGTATTTTATCATACAAAGACATATATTTTATATATAAAAAGCAAAATAAAAATAAAAAAATAAAAAAACTAAAATCAATTATTTTATAAATTACATATACACAAACTACATTTCAAAAGTCTGGGGTCAGTAAGATTTTTTTATGTTTATGAAATTAGTCTCTTTTGCTCAACAACACTGCATTTATTTGATAAACACTAATATAGTGAAATATCATAATAACTGTTTTCTGTTTTACTTTATTTAAAAATGTAATTCATTCCCTTGATGGCAAAGCTGAAATATTCAGCAGCCATTTCTCCAGTCTTCAGTGTCACATGATCATTCAGAAATCATTCTAATATCGTGATTTGGTTCTCAAGAAACATTATTATTAGCAACGTTCAAATCTGATGTGCTGCTTAATATTTTTGAGTAAACAATCATACATTTTTTGCAGGATTCTTTGATGATTAGAAACTTAAAAAGAACAGCATTTATTTGAAACAGAAATCTAACATTAACAAATACCTCTATATTTTTCTAATTTAACATTAAAAACTAAAATCAATTAAAAGTATATAGCCTATTTATATTCTTTTTTTAGCTTCCCTTCTGTAGAGCATTTGCGTTACACTTGTCGCTGAAAGGTAGATAGCATATCATTTATTTACTTATTTATTTTTTTATATATATTGAATGCAAAATTCAAAACCAGATCGCTTCCATTACCATAAGCTTCTATTGTTGCTCTGTTGTTTATACTGTAAATAGAGTGGATCCAGTTTTGTATCAGTCTAGTTGTTGAAAACTTGACGCGATGAGGACATTATCCCACCCTCTCAGCATGCTTTTACAGTATTATAGACTCCTGGAATGCTAAGCCAGTTTGATACTTTATTAGTTCCATAAGGAGAGATTTTTGTAGAATTCCTTTGCTGCTTTAGAAAACAGCCCACTGTGACAAAACCAAGCAAGCACACACACGGAGAAAACAATAAAAACTAACCCAACGGAGCTTCATTCAATGATCAATCAGAGGTGAGCGCAGACACAGCGACAAAACAAATCCGCAGGCACATGTTTGTTCATGTGTGTGTGTGTGAGGTGAATGAGTCCACTGGCGCTGCAGCATCTCGGAGTCTCTGCAAATTAAAACTTGCTCAAGCAAGAGGGGTCTGCTTGGCTTGATGTGACATGGCTTGGCTAGGCTGACCCCCCAAACTTAAACCATACCCACTTCTTCTGCATTTGTGCCTTCATCCGACAGCGAGGGGAGGGTGGGGCGAAGAAAAGAAATATGCACGTGTGCACCACAAAGGGGGCATGTGTTTAGGGCCAGGGCTTCACTTGAGATGGCCACAACAAAAAGTACAGCTACGCTTGCCCCCTGCGTAGCACCACCCTATGCTGGTTCTCTGGAAAACATCGCTCTGATTCATTTATGTGGTCTGCGAAAATACTCATTATTATAGTCAAATGAGAGGCTCTTTTTTAGCTTTCCCTCTGCAGAGAATTTGTGAGGTGTATTTAAGATGTTTTTGTGCTGTAATCAACAAACCAACCCAACTAACAAGACCAAATATAATTCTCATACTTAGGGATATGCCGGTATCAAATTTTCCTGTTGCGATTAATTGCTCATGCTTTTATCACGGTATACGGTATCAGAGCGTCTCTCACATGTTCCGCCATGTGCTTCACGTCCGCGCTTGTTTACGTCAGAGTGCACACGCGTCTTTCACGCTGCATACAGCGGTGTTGTGCATTTTGACCAGTTGATGAGAAAAGTATTCTTAAAATGCATTCAAAATTCGGAATAACTTGTAATATATAATTATTCACGGTATTTAGAAGAGCCCACAATAACAATATCGTGCATATTCATTACCGTGATACATCGCATTACCGAATACCGGCACAAGTCTACTCATACTCATCCATCAGCATCGTCACCTAATTCAAGCCATACATTCAACTAGACAAGCTTCACTTGCTGTTTAAAAGTGGCCAACAGCAGCAAGTTAATTGTCCGTTTGGCTGTTAGAAACTGAAGGAATGCTGGGAGGAGAGGACATTAGTGTGATGTAGGGGCAACACTGGCCCAGCGTGAAGGAGGAGCCGAGCCGGTTAGTTTGGTTACGGCAGTCACTCTATTTATACTTGCTCCTCCCTCATAGGTCCAAACAGCATCTATTGAATCCAGATGTGAGAGGGCCGACAGAATGAGGGCTGCTGTTGCCCTTCAGACTCGTGCTCTTTAGTTCTTTCACACGTGGTAATATTCACACAGGGCAGATGTATTGCTCTGTTTGCTCTGTATAAACACATCATATGTCTGAAAGTGTGTAATAAAAAAAAATACTCTGTAATAATACTCTTTTATACAATAAATAAATAATTATATATGCCCTACCTTCCAAAGGTTTAGGGTAAGATATTTTGAAAAAAAAAAATGTATTAATACTTTTATTATTAAATTGATCATAAGTGACCGTAAGACTTTTACTTTGTTACAAAAAATTCTACTTGAAATAAATGCTGTTCTTTTGAACCTGCATCACAGTTATTAAGTTATTAAGCAGCATAACTTTTTTAACATTGATAATAAAAAGAAATGTTTTTTAAGCACCAAATTAGCATATTAGAATGACTGCTGAAGAATCACTTGACACTGAAGACTGGAGTAATGGCTGCTGAAAACTAATAAATTACATTTTTAAAATGTATTAAAATAAAAATCAGCCATTTTAAAATGTAATAAAATTTCACGACATTACACTTTATACTGCATTTTTGATCAAATAAATGCAGCCTTTGTGAGCGTATCATAGCATAATGGTAGTTTATGTAAACAAATTATATATAAACAATTATAATTTAACTATATAAAATCTAAAAATAGTAATAATCATAATAATAACATAGTAATAATAACGATAGTTATTAATAATAGTGTAATATAACAACATATTCATATAATATAATATAATACTAATAAAACAATATAACTATTTATCAAAAGGTCAGGAAACAATGGTTCATATACTGTGTCTACATTAAAAAAAAAAACTACAATTTTATTTAAATATATAAATAATTAAAATATCTATAATATATACATTCATATTTAGTTTAAAAGCCTCTAATAGTTTATACAGTTTATTTGTCCTGTATATACTGAGACAACGTGCCCCACACCCTCTGTCCAATCTCTACATAACCAAAGGACCTGAATGAAAGGCTTGCGGAGCAAGATTAAATTTGCTGATTAATAGCCTGTCACGGGCCATCCTATGAACAGGGCATTACTGATCTGTTGGCAGCGTGTGATGACGCACTCTCCCACCGACTCTGAGGTGGCCTGCAGGAGAGAGAAAACAGAGGTGTCTCATCCTCAGTCCCTAAAACCAAAAGAAGACGGCACTCAATCCCCTCTGCCACACATGGCGTGATGTAGGTCAGCAATGTCCTTGTATGGGGTTTGTATGGGTATGGAATTTGTAATGATGTGTCAACAGTGTGACATCTGAAAAATAAGAGCTACAGTAGATTCAAAGCCAAGCCCACTACCCATGTCTCCCTATGCCCCTCCCATCAGGCCACCTCCAAACTGCACAAAATAGAGTGCTGGAAACAAACCGAGTACATGCACACTTAGCAAAAGAGATAAAACAGAGCAGCACCCCCTGTCTGTTTTTATCAATGGCATTACGTCAATCTGTAGTTACGATTTCTAGGTCTTTGTCTCTGTTTCCAAAGACATGCACTCAACTTCAGCATTAGGTCATGCTAGCATCAAAACAGAAGCAGCCTGATCCCTGACTGACCAATGAGCAGCCTAGCGGGCCTGGAGATGAGTTAATGGGCTTAAGGTCTACTCCAGACTAGCTACTGCTCTATTAAGCTTGTTTGACCAGCTGTCGGTTCATCTAAGAGCTACTTGAGATCTCAACCAACCAAAAGCCTTGGATGGGGGTGTGTGTTTTGGTTGGTGGGATTGTTTGGGAGCAAAACATCTCAGCCCTAATTAGTGGTATCTTGCACCTATTTGTATTCTGGGTGCTCTGCATTCTCATAAAAAAAGTGCAAAAAGGGACACATTTTGTACCTCACTTATCCCCAAAAGTTTCATAGTAGGACCTTAAGGGTAATACATAACACTGCTCTAAAGTACTAATGTGCAACTTTTAGGGGTACTGCCCCAATGACAAGCTGTTCTCCCCCTAAAGGTACAATTTTGCACATTTTATTCTAGCAGTGTGTGAGGTAGGACATGACATGAAAAGTCCGCTGATTTACAGAAGACGTGAATCATTTAGACATTATGAGAAAAAAAGAAAATTGTCATAATTTACTCACCCTCCTGCTGTTCCACACCCTTAAGACTTTGTTTAATCTTTGAAACAAAACTGAAAGTCCAGTTAACCAAAATGTAGAAGATCCAAAAACATGTGATGCAAACATCACATGCTAGAACAAACCTCACAGGTTCTCTTTGTGCTTCTGTGTTCACCATATGTGATGTGCTCTATGTATGTGTGCTGAGCATTGTTCAGATGTAAATAAAAGCCTACATTACATCTGTTCATCATATAAAGCAATCGAATCACTTCACAAGACTTGGATTAAACTGCTTCCTACGGATTCGTTTTACAGCGTCTTGGTTACCTGGACTTTCAATAAAGTGACAAAAACCTATCAGGTTTCATTAAAAATATACATTTTAATTTCATTACATTTTTGTTTCAAAGATAAACCAAAGTCTTGGTTTGGAACGATATGAAAGTGAGCAATAAATGACTCCCTTTAATACAGGGATAGTTCATCCAAAAATAAATAATAAATTAATAGTAAGTAAAATAAATTTACTTACTGACCCGCAAGCTATGACTGACTGACTTCTGTATAACATAAAAGAAGATATTTTGAACTATGTTTTAACTGTTTTGTCCATAAAATGAAAATCAATAGGGTCCAAAAAAAGAGGTCCAGCTCTGACATGCAAGAGTCCTGTACCCAGAAGCGCAGCTCTAGGGGTCTGAGAATGCTCCCGCTGCTGCCCTACTCCTCTCACGCATCTCTCTGGCTTCTCGGATTGCTGCAGCTGCTGGCTTGAGGAGTTGGACAGTCTACCTTCCTTCCTTTCATCGCAAAGGGCATCCCTGACATACACGCACAAGCAAAATATTGCAGAGGAAGACAGCATAACAATCTATTAAATGATGCCCAAGCCATGCATACTATACATACTATATGCTTAACTGCTGTCAAAGTCCCTTTAAGTCCCTCTTAGTGGTTAGTCCGCTCTGCGGCCATCTTGGTAACATTTTAGGGCAGCAATTTTTTTTTAAACGGAATCCAAATCTGAATCAAATTGAGAGCTTGTTTATTTCTGGCCAAACACTGAATGTCCACAACATGAGACAATAACATGATCAGTCAGTTCTCGGACACCCAAATAAAATAACAACCAAAAGTAAAATAAAATCAAAGCCTTAAATTAAACTATAAGCCAAAAACTGAAATAAAATGTAATAAAATAAATAAATAAATGAAATTACATAGGCTTGAAATAAAATGAATAAAATAAAATTATGCAGGTAATAAGTATACAGATACAGCTCCTATCTACTTGAATGAGGAAAGACTGAAATCTCCAAAACAGTTGCAGCATTTCAAATAAGCAATAAAATCTTAATTTTTGTTTTAGCTCAAATCAGTGGTGCTCAAAACTGACTTATGCATGTTCTAGAGTACTACACACTATCAAAAAGGCAACTGCATCTTTTAACTGAAAGGCAGGAATTAAATTTCTACAGCAACCAAATTGAGTATTATGATTTCCCTTTTTGTCACTTGCGCAATCCATGAAAAACTATTACATGTTTTCAGTTCAGCTGATATTTACATATATACATGTTTGCACACACATGGTGTTTCTAAAGTACTCCACCATCGCATTAATCAGAGTTGAAATTTGCTCCCTCCACATCAAAGAGCTCCGCCGTCTAAATATTTGTATAATATTTCGGAATGCAACACAGCTAATTGTGCCTGTCCCTTGAGTGCGTTCAGCACTATTACTTCGACATCCAGATGATATAGAAGCTTTTATCTGGAGCTATTTCGGAGGTGGAGAAATGTAGGTCAGTCTTTATTTACAGCCCAATTTCCTAAAAGGGCCACAAAAGAATAGGTGGTGGGGCACGGGCCCAATGAGACCCGATAGACAGAGCCGGAGGGTGTGCGGGCATCTACACTATTCTAGGATCAGACAACAGTAAAATTCAAACTGTACACCCACACAAGCACTCATCACGAGGATGTATTCATTCAGTACCCAAGCTCGTGTTGTCTGATTCATGCACAAATGACTCTTATGAGCCGGTTCTTTTAATAAACAGTTCAAAAAGATGAGTTTAACAGTTTGAATCAGTCTGAAACACCACCCTGTATAATTTAAAAATAGAATTCATATATGCAAGCAAAATGAACATTATAAAGTGATATACAGTCAAATTGGAATCTAATCAAATCAATCTGAAATCGGAATCAAATTGAGAGCTCAAATCAGAATCTAATCACATTGAAATCATAACCAAAACAAGAGTTTGTGAATCTAAATTACATTTTAAAAAAGCCAAAAAAAAAATGAAATAAAAAACATTACATCAGCATTCAACTAAGACTCTTCTGCATCAAGCAACAACAGCAATCCTACCTGCCATTGTGCTTGTGATTAAAAGTTTAAAAGGACATAAGATGGAAAGAATGTGCCAGAAATAACTAGATTTGTGTAAAGCCCAGGGTGTAAATCCTGCCCACTGGAGTAGTGCAAAGAGGTCATAGATTAATTGAATTCCACTTTCATTTCATCCAGCATTTCTCATGATCCTCCTTTTAATACAGGTCGGGCGAGAGGGGACGCAGCTGGACATCTCAGGACCTGCTTAGTCAAACAGTGACCCTGGATCCAAGACAGTGTACGTAACGTCTCTGCAGTCAGCGGGGACCGACAAAGCATCTGGCTGTCTGGTTTAAGTAATAGAGGCGAGACACAATGTTGTTCATCGGCTGTTTTGCAGTGTACAGTTTGGTCCTCCCGCCCACAATATTAATTTTTATAGTTCATTAGAACTGACAAATGCTTATGTACTTTCCCCTTCAGCTGTGAAAACAACTGAAAGGGAACAAAGTGTCGACAACGCAGCCTTACCGTAGAGAGGAGCAGAGGGTAAGAGGATAAGAGTACAGATTAGCGTGTGAAGAGATGGAAAAAATGGGATGAGAATGGGGAGATGAGGATGCTGGCAGGACACGGCTGAGTCCTCTGTCCTTACATAAAGCTATACTACTCTACCTTCTTTACTACTGGAAAAAAAGAGTGACACTGTCCAAAAAGTGATGTTTATATAATCGTGTCCAGATGTTTATCCCTGCTAAGTAAAGAAAGGCCCATGAACAGAGGCTTTCGCTACCACAGCTGTTTTACAAAAAAGTAGGACTAAAGAGGAATCGAAATAATTAATCATATTCGAACCAAAATCAATAGTTTTCCCTAAATAAATGGCTAAAAGTAACTAAAGATGTTCAAAATATCTAATCAAGTGTGCCCAAAATTCACTTTGGCAATTCAGCAGTTCGTGATCAAACGTGATCAATCACTGAATTTCTCAAACTGTGATCTGCAAGTATCCGACTCAACGGTGATCCTGTGACACTGTGATTTACGGAGCACTTCAAGGAGAGTGGTGTGAAACAAAAACAGGAAGGGGAAATGTTAGGGAAAATCGTGAAGGAGGATTTCCTCTGAATAACACTGGCATGGTGTTGTTTTTCCTGGATCGGGAGCTGTAAACTCGATTGAAAGATTTATGTCTCAACTAAAACTGTATAGAGAGGGGCCTTGATCGGCTTGTTTGAGCAGCAGCAGGAAGATCTGCATAGCTTTCCATTTATAGCATTGCTCTTTAGTGGGAAGCTGCGTCTATACACCACTTTTGCTAGTTTAGGAAATACTTAATACCTCATTCTATAGGGGCGTTCACACGGACATCAATTGGAAGTCATTCACTTTTAATGAAAGTTGGCGATTTCCAAATACATGAGTGACAGCCACTTTTGACTATGCAAGAAAGTTTAAAATGAGTTTGAAAAAGAGGGGCCTTGATCGGCTTGTTTGAGCAGCAGCAGGAAGATCTGCATAGCTTTCCATTTATAGCATTGCTCTTTAGTGGGAAGCTGCGTCTATACACCACTTTTGCTAGTTTAGGAAATACTTAATACCTCATTCTATAGGGGCGTTCACACGGACATCAATTGGAAGTCATTCACTTTTAATGAAAGTTGGCGATTTCCAAATACGGAATAAAAGTGGAATAAAAATTCCACTTTTGACTATGCAAGAAAGTTTAAAATGAGTTTGAAAATGAGAATGGTAAGAACAGCTACAAGCAAACAACAGCGATTTAGTCACTTTTAAAGTCAAAACTGAAATGAAATCAGAATGGAACAGGCTTCTGGTCTAATTGTAAGCAATTCATCTGTGCCTGTTGTTCTAAAGCAAAACGTGTCTTTTTTGTCTTGTTTAATCAAAATGCATTCATTTTTCCTTCCTCTGAAACAAATTTCCCTTTCCACTAATATCACTGAGGTCACACGGGCTGTAAGATAATCTTAAACAATAGCCAAATAGACATATAGACAGTATTTGAACAAACTCACAATCAGTCTGGCTGCATTCTGATATGTGATGTCCACCATCCAATCAATTCCCATTCGATAAAATCAAGTTTACTGAAGCCAAATATTAATTTTCAATGCCAAATATTATGGAAGTAAAATGGGTAGAAAATGCCAATTCACAGTTGGCATCTTCTATAAATTACTGTCCAAAAGTTTGGTCCATTTTTATTCAGCAATGATGTATTAAACTGATCAACAGTGACAGCAAAGACATTTATATGGTTGCAACAGATTTCTATTTCAAATAAATGCTGTTGTTTTTAACTTTCCATTCATTAAAGAACACTGAATAAAAAATCTATCACCGTTTCCACAAAAATATTAAGCAGCACAACTGTTTACAACATTGATAACAATAAGAAATGATTCTTGAGCACCAAATCAGCATTTTAGAATGATTTCTGAAGGATCATGTGACACTGAAGACTGGAGTGATGCAGGGCTGATGCAAATTCAGCTTTGTCATATAGGAATAAACTCGATTTTAAAATATTATTTCAACTGCTTTCCATACATGACTCATTTTGGGTTTTTTGTTTTGAGCAAAATTACAGGACAATATAGAAGAATTAGAAAACAAGAGGGAAAGATACACTAGACTGAGGTTGTAAATAAATTCTATCACCGTTTCCACAAAAATATTAAGCAGCACAACTGTTTACAACATTGATAACAATAAGAAATGATTCTTGAGCACCAAATCAGCATTTTAGAATGATTTCTGAAGGATCATGTGACACTGAAGACTGGAGTGATGCAGGGCTGATGCAAATTCAGCTTTGTCATATAGGAATAAACTCGATTTTAAAATATTATTTCAACTGCTTTCCATACATGACTCCCAGAGACCATTTTGGGTTTTTTGTTTTGAGCAAAATTACAGGACAATATAGAAGAATTAGAAAACAAGAGGGAGAGATACACTAGACTGAGGTTGTAAATAAATACAATAAATATGGCCCTTATTTCTGTGGGACAATTTCTGTGGGAGGTCCCTCTCTGAGCAGTGGGCAAACAAGGTAACAGCCGCATTCTCCGGCCCATGTGATCCCCAATGAGAAACGCCTCTGGCCTGCAAGGATGCTTGCAACCCATCCGGGAGACGGATGCCAAGCAATTAAACGAAAACTCATTCGATTAACAGACACGGTCTGGAAGCGTTTTAATAACCTGGAACCTATTTAGAAAATGGTTGATGTTCGGATGCTGACAGGAAAACAAAGGACTGCATTGTAAAAGAGAGCGAGCGTGTGTTTTCTTCACTGATCAACTCCGCCACAAAGCAGCAGAGCGACAAACCCAATAGCTGTCACTGCCGCTTTCATCTCGCTTCCAACCCAGACTTCAGGGGGGAAAAGCAGATGTCTGATGCAACTGTCACCCATCTTGGTTCCTTCACGGTGAATGCCATGCTTGTGTTTTGACTGTAGTAGTAAAATAATTTAATTACTACTTCAAGCCAAATGTGTAATTTCTCTGGGAAGTCAGATTTGGTCAAACCCATCCGAGATTCTTTTGTCGGGTGTCACTACACAAAAAAAATGGGAAAGAGAGAGAGAAAGGGATGAAAACATATGCTCTCCTCAGCACAATACCAGGGCTACAATTATGGACACGGAGTGCCAGGAAAACAGATTTCTGTCCCATTACTCCCACTGGTTAAAGGGATAGTTCACCAAAAAATGAACACTCTGCCATTATTTACGCACCATCTAGTTGTTCCAAACCTCTATCACAGACTTTGTTCAGTGGAACACAAAAGAAGATAAAAAACAACAACATAGGAAACCATTGACTTCCATTGTATGACATTTTCAAAATATCCTTCTTTGTGTTCAGCATAAAAAAAGATATACAGGTTTGGAATGACATGAGAATAATCGTAATTCTGTGGCAATCAACTGTACATCATAGTCATATTTAACCCAAAATATCAATAAAATGTGTAGGGATGTGAACTCCGCCTTCCACTTAGTCTCAGTGCATCCAGTCTTCATCGCTTACTAATTCTGTCCTCCTTCCTCTACTTCTCAAGTAGCTCTCCTCTAGGCTTGCCGCGATTGACGGTGTTGACGGTGATACCGGTGTTAAGCCGCAACACCGGTTACGTCACTTGCCCACCGCGTCACCGACCCCCACCGTCGTTTTGATGTTTTATAGTAATAAAAATCATTTAGTTCAGTAAAAGAACAGACACTACAATTAAAAACTGAATGCGGCTGCTCAATGCAGCGTGCCGAACGACAGTCGCATCACACAGATCAGATTTCATTTCTCCAGTGAGGAGAGTGAGTCGAGCTGACTGACAAGAAGAGTGAGGTGAGACAGACAAGACGATCGCGGATTATTTAGTTTCGAAACTAGATGCAAAAGCGCCTGTTTGGCAATATTTTGGATTTTGAAAAGCCTGTTGACTTTTGCCATTTATCTAAGGTGATTTTGGAAGTTTTTTTAAACATTCGTTTCTTATTGAATTGGTTCCACATTGTTTGCTGATTTTTACTTTATTTAAACTGTGTCATTTATTTATTTTATTTGACATCAAGGTGTATGCCCTGCCTCCAAGCTTTCTTACTCGTTTTGCTAATAAACGTTCTACGTTTCTTATTTATTTGGTTAGATATTATACATGTTTACTTAGCCTATTTCCAGTTTTGTATACCTATTTAAACTTTATATAAGTTATTTTATATTAGGCATAGCCTGCCCTATAGCATGGTGTATTTTTATTTGTTTTGTTAATAAAAGTTCTATGTTTTATATATAGGCTAAAGTGAGTTTGACGTTGTATTTTGTTGTTGCATTCAAGCAATTGACGCCGAACTGCCACTAATTCAAAAGTGAAAGTAAAATGAGCACAGCGCTTTTAACCTATTTAAAAGCGACGGAAAGCGAGGAAAAGAGGGAAAATTCAAACGAACTAAAAACGAACAATTGCTTTACTCCGAATTGCCGCTATTTTAAAGTGAAAGTAAAATGGGCACACCGCTTTTACAAGCTATTTAAAAGCCAAGGAAAGC